TAATAATATGTTGAGACATAACACTGGACATAAATGTCGGTGACATCAGCAAAAAAGGACTCACCTGGGATGTTTTCCATTGTTCTGTCCTTTAACCTTTTAAAACGCAGAGGTTTTATGCGACCCAAAATTTACATGGAAAAACTGATACATAAACATACTGTGTATTTCCATGTTGACCGGAGGCAACGATATAGTCATATTATATGTCGTTTGAAAGCTCAGGTCTTCGAATTGTAGTATATTCATGGATTTTGATGATTAATTTACGATATTAAAATAGTTACGTCTTAATTTCTGGCCGTAAACAGATAGCAACTTACTCCTAGCCGGTCGCACCACCGTTACAAGAGAAGTTAGCTGGGCTAAAAACAGGCTTTTAAAGACAAACACTTGGTCATTCGACAGAAAAAAACTCCAGATTACCTTTAGCTCATTTAAGTTCGACTCGGAGTTAAAAAATGACTCCCCAAAACTGAAATTATTCTGTCAGTAAGATTTGTCAGCGCTACCAAAAACGTTCAATACAACGACGTTAAAACCAATTTTTAAGTATTGATGAATAATTTTACCAATAAGCTTCGATATTTTTAAAACCTCTACGCGTCCACGAGCAAAATTAACCAACCAGGATCTTTCTCTGACGTAACGTGACGCACTCTCGAGACCTTTAATTCAATCAGCCAATCAGAGAAAAACATCTATACATTCACCGATGGGTGTTTGATTGACAGCTGCTGTCATCCAATAGAAGGTCAACGCACTCAAACTACTCTCGTTTTGAAGTCGGGAAAATCACCTGTCTGACCATATATGGAAGTTAACGTATTTGGCCTCGCTGTTGCAATAGAACGAAAATAAATAATAGAAAACAATTTTATCTGTCGAAAAAGACCCAAATAAATTATAACAAATGTGTAAATCTTTATTTAATTATTAAGGAGATCATTTTGTAGTTGAATCCAGCATTTAAAAACACGTGAAATGTAAAAAAAAGAAAATGAATCCTCATAAGTTTTTAACTTTGGAGAGATTTTTGTGGATTTTTGAATTAATTTCTTAGTGTTGCTCTGTTTTGCACTTTGAACTAAACTCTGTAATATCTTAGAGCCAATTTTCTGTATCAGATTGAAACCTGGCACATTTATTTGAGACAAAATTTAGATTACATCCTGTAAATTTCAGCCTCCTAGCCCTCATAATGACTGATTAACTGTCATTACACATATGAAGTAAAAACCTAAAAACAACAAGGCTTCAGTCAATACCTGTATAATCCTCAAACAAATGATCTATGTTGGAGCTAGGGGTAAAACTAACAGACTATATTAAATATCACAGATTTTAGTTAACAGTGGTCAAACAATCAGGTATCAGCTATTTATGGTTTGAAAATAATTTACAAGTTTATTCTGATAGTTACAGACATGCATAAGTGCACATGACTGAGAGGCTCTAACAAGTTAATATTGGTTCTGAAAGAGAAAACAGACACATGTGTTAACTGTGACTCTGCTTCCATCAACTCAGCAGTCAGATAAAACTGATGAAAAATAAA